CATTATTATTTAGGAATTCTTCAACTTTAGAAACGTAATTCTGATTTTCAATGATAACTATACTATTTCCTTTATCGGCTTTTAAAACAACGTTGTTGTTACTTTTTAACTTTTTATCAATAGACCTAATTGTACGTGGGATATTTAATTTATTTACGTTTAAGTTTACCAAGTTTTGTTTAATTATTTCAGCACATTTATATTTTATATTTGTACTTATGTTACTACAATCCACTGATGAACCAAGAGATAGTAGTTTTTTTGTATCCAAATCGGTTTTAGGGACAAATTTTAAGCCTTTGTTTAATAAATTGGTTTCTTCTTTATTTAGTGCCATGTTCGTTAGGTTTATAACCCTTGGGTAAAATTTAACTGGAGTTTTTGGATCTTTATGGGTATTTTTATTTTTAAGTGAACCGTACTTTAAGCTTTTGATTTTTTTATCTAATATACTTTGTTTTTTATCAGTGATAAATTTAATTTTTGATCTCGTATCATAATCGAACTCATCCCATTCTACTTGAGACAATAATGACGCAAGCCTAGTGTGTACAATATATTGATAAAAACGTTTTGTATCTCTTAGACTGTACAATTTATGTAATTCATTATTTAAAATGGTTTTTTGGCATTTACTTTGTAAGAGAGTTGAGCAGTTCTTAACATTTAATTTAGCAAGAACGAATTTAGGGGTTAGGTTTAATTTCAAACATTGGGAATTGAACCAGATTGATTTGTTAATCTTTGAGCATGAAAGTCTCAATTTATAATAAAGATTTAAAAGTACTTGTTTATATACATTCTGTCGTCTGAATTTCTGGTGTCCGTTTTGTGGCCAGATATGCATTTCAGTTTATATACATTACTGTTATGATTTTAAGAACCTTTAGAATTTTGTTTTGAAAACCGAGGTTTGTATACACTACATCTTACTATTCACTTAAAAGCTACATTTATGACTACTTACTGTTGTCAACTTCGAAATAATACAGCTAATTTGTCTGAGATGAGGTACACAAATACATGACATATTTATTTATAATTTTACATCGAACAGTCGAAAATTACAAATTTAAAAAAGAAGAAAAATATTTTTAGAAATAATTCCACGATGTGTAGCGTGACGAGAAGTTGTAAATTAGCTTGAAAGCAAACAACGAGATTGGGAGAAGCTAAAGATCTTCAATGACTTCCAACAATACACGCACAACTCATACTTCACGAAAGGACTAACCAACAAAACGAATACGTACATTATTTTAATTTCCACTTGTAAAACTTTATAAGTTTGTAATATAGCAAAAATTGTATTAAAATAAGACAGAAGATCAATTTCATCTTGGAAAACCCCTGTTTAAAAGCTTGAATAATCACAAAAAAATTTAAAATTATATTAGAATAATTATTCAACTTGTCTTATTGTTAGCGTGTAACCAATAAAACAATGCGAAAGTCTACAAGACGAATCAGAATACAAAATATCAAACTAATCAAACTTGTTTTAATATATCGTAATATACCATAATAGAATGCATATGTGTGTTCGTTAAGTTGTGCTAATTTTGAATTTTATTCCGTGTTGCATATTCCGGTTTAATTGTTTAAACTTTACATTTTTAATGGAATCACATTTAATACAAGTTTCTTACATTACATCAATTATTCAATTAGGTTCAATTTTCTTACAAAGTTCGGTTTCTCATACAATCGACTTTTAATTAGCATGGTGGTTTAATTTTCAATTTTCACTATTTTTTTTATGTTCACAATGAAGTTCTTCAGTAAAGTATCCCGGCGTCAAGCCTCCCGGAGAAATATTGATGGACCAGTATCAAGAGTGCCCTGTCGGTGTGCTGGAGTACTATCGTATAGTTGCGTCGATGCTCAAGCGAGATCGTTAGCAGTATTCAAGTCCCCACCAACTTAAAACTAAGCCCACCGTCCCTATTTTTGGTGAGAAGTTGATCGAACCGGTTTCTTAAAGCGCATCGTCCAATGAAACGAACCGATCCTTTTGGGCTTTCAAAACCAAAAATGAACTCTAAATTTTAACAGTGAAAGTATTCTTCTCAACATATATCACATAACTTGGTACATGTCTCCCAAATATTAAAGTTATCTGATTTTGGTTTAAGACCATTGAATGTTGAAATACACGTAAAAAAACAGATAATTCGAAGATAAGCTTTACTATAATTACAATGGTATAAATTATACGTCCAATCATAAACTTCCATTATATTTTGAAAGTGAAGCTGGGAGTATTATTTTTATTATTTAAATATAATTTTTTAACTTTTGTACAAAATGTGTAGTTATTACTATGCTAAATTTAACATTTACTTGACCTGTAACTTGTGTTAGCAGATGCAATGACGCTCCTCATAAAAATGAAAACCAATTTTAATATTTAAACTACTTACTTGTCAAAAAGAGAAAAAATAGAAAGATATACCATCATACTTAACATTCAAATCATCACTTCACATTTTGACAAGTGCAGGTCTGTGTGCCTTTTTCTGTATAGTCTTCATATATGGGGTGGTGTTGGAACATTTTGTGCTGTGTTTTTAATGAGGTCGTTCGGGTTGTTAACCATGAAATTTAGAAGCCGAACTTAGCAGGTCTTAAGGAATGATAAAACGTCGGGCAAATCAAAGCCTGTGTGCGTTGAATTTCTTAGAAACCACTGTACTCCCGTCATAATTTGGGGGAATTTTTGTAAGGTTTCTATATTTTTATAAGGCAGTTAGCTGCATATCACCAAAAAACCGTCTCTTTAAGTGAAGTGAAAGAAGATGATTTTTCCAATAATGATTATTAGGTTATGCAACTATCAGCGTAATGCTGTTAGTACTTGTTTCCAGGTGAGCATGGTGTCAACTGATCTTAGGCAATGGACTGCTTCAGTTTTAGGGAACCTTCAAGAAAAACAGCATGTAATAGGTTATTTTTTTTAGTTGCAATACTGTGGTATTGCTTTTATTTCCTGACTTTCTCAGTAACGGTTTCCGCATATGAAGAAGTACTACCTGCCTACTGAGACCGCATCTCACGATTTCTAAATAAAAAACTACTAAGTAAGTGTTACTGTTACTGTAGTGGCATAAGGCAAAAGTGGCTTTATTTTATTGAAGGCCTTCTCCTTATCCAAGGATAAACCTAAGCGTAACTTCCTGTGTTGGAATGCTCGAGGATATGTGATGTTGTGTACAGTTCAATTCCTAGTACAGTTTGATCCCAGGTTAAAGACCTGATCGAATTTTCTGTATTCTGTAAGCCTCGTGTACAGTTAGTGCAGAATTCTTTGGGTGCTCCTAAAATGGAAAAATTCTTTCTTTTTTCAAATATACTTTCCTTTCAACAGTGCAGCTATTAAAAAAGGAGAGGATAGCATCCGGATCTTGCATTTTACAGAATTATTACATTTTGCTTTCGCAATTTTTTTTTAAATTTTTTTTTACGAGGGTTCGCAACAGCAGAGGTCATATAAACCCTCAGGGTGCCGGTGTTTTTGAAAAAAAGCCCATTTGTAAGTATGTCCAGCAGCCCTGCATTCGAACCCGGGACCTTCACCTTACAGTGATGAGCGCCGTGTCAACGCCTAAACCGTTGCGGCCACCGACGCCCCCATTTCGCAATTGTTTCGTTTTTGTATTTTATTAGTTTTAAACTATATTTTTTCAGGTTCTGGTGAATGTTTTTCAAGGAATTTCACCACATTTAAGGTGTGTTACATCGTACTGCGAACCTATGTTAGATGTTATACAATGCAAAAATTCTTGAGCTCATCTTTTCATCTGCTTCATTTTGTATAAAAACATACGTGTGGGGTATTTTTTGATAGCTGAAAGAATACTTGATGTATTCAAAGGAGATTAAAAATTGTTTGGCAAACACTAACCAATTTCAGTTTGAAATATCTGAGCGGAAGGATTGGATTCGCTGGATATTGGAAGATTTGGCGAAACCCTAGTTTATCTCAGTATGTCCATAGTGCAACAGTAATGTATTGAAAGATAGTTGAGTTTTGTCGGACAAAACAGCTTTGGTCTTGAACGTCCTTTTAGCTGTCCACTTCTTCCGTCCGATATGTTGTCTCTTGTCATGGGGGCCTGTAGTCTAGGTATGTGTACAGTCCTAAGCTTTTAGCTTCAGTAGAAGTTGGTAACTTCTTGTTATTGATATTCAGGGAGGGCAGGATTCCCGATTAGAAGAAAAATATTAGCGTATCACAGGCGTAGATGGTGTTCACGGTATTGCGTGTATTGGAAAGTCAGCAATATAAATAGTATCAACTACAGCCTACTGCATTGAAATGGATGAAATGCATCAAAACGAAATTTAAAAAAAACAACTACCTGCATTGGTAAATCGAAAGGGTCTTATACACTACACCACAACGTCGGATCTCATGTTTTAAGTGAGTCTGAATAAATTATTAATTATTTATAAAAAAGTACACAATTTTTTTCGCAAAAATTCTACAGTGAGAATTAAATTATGCTCCTTATGGTAACTACAACCCACTAAGATATTGGAAGCACAAATAAATTAAATTTATATTAATTACTTGAAAGCCCTCCTATATTAATTTGTGCTTAACTTCTATTTTTGTTCTACTCACTTATTTAACTACTTATTATTACCTGTTGAATTATTTATTTAAACATTAATTTATCCATTAAATGAATTATTATGGTTTAATTGTTTTACAATTAGGGCGATATATGTAATCTACTTATGTGATTCCATTTTTATTAATTAATATATTTTGTAATTATTCATTAACTTATTGAGTTTGTTGTATAATCTTAAAATTTTTACTCTTTTATAATTATTAACATATTGATAGTTTTTATGCGTCCTTAATGCACATTAATCGTGAATGCTAAAGAGGATGTTAGTGTTGAAACTTAATGCTTCAAAAATAGTGAATTTGTGATTAGATAGTGAAACAAAATCTACAGCCCGAACATTAAAGCGGGGAACACACTTACCCGGTGCAACGCTATTCGACGCTACCCGACGCCTTGTCACGTTTTGGTAGGGTGTGCACAACTATGCGACGTCAAGGGCCACGCCTCGTACAGTCACACAGCGTGATATCACAAATCAGTATCGCAATCGCAACACCTATTTTGTTTTAAATGCATTATTTTGAGCAAATCCATCTTATAAATTGTTAGTTAAAATGCATTAGTTAGTTGAAATGCATCAAAACGAAAAAAAAAAAAAAAAACTACCTGCATTGGTAAATCGGAAGTGTCTTATACACCTACACCACATCGCCGGATCTCATGTTTTAAGTGAGTCTGAATAAATTAAATGAACTGGACTACGAATTCTTCCACACCCACCGTATCATCTGGACTTGTACCCAACAGATTTTAATTTTTTAGGAATTGGAACAAGTGTTTTTTAACATTCATTATTACAAAACACTCAATTGTTCCGTTCTGGAATTTAAAAAAGAAATGTTGGGAAAAGTGTGGAGATAAAGAAAGTAAATTCACTGAATAAAATTATTTTGATTTTATAACATTTTCTTACTAAGCAACCATGATGGTCATTTTATATGAAACGACCCGATAGATTCAAATGAAACATGAAATGCTGGTTGGACCTTTACCTCGGAAAAAAGCGTCACAGTACAGACAATCATCAACACTATTTGTCAACGAAGTAAAAAACAAGGTTTGCATAGCTTCCATGGTTTTACAATACAAAAAGCTTCTATGCTGTGAGTCGCAACAATGTTAATCGTTAAATTGCCTGTAAAACGCTGTCGAAAACGTTTTATTATCAATGAAATCTGAATAAAATTACTGTACAGGTGGTTATTTATTTATTTTATTTTTTTTTTGGCGTTTAGGATCGACCGTCTGTAGCTTATCTTAATTCTAGTTTTGTTTTAGTATCGAATATATTTCTTGCGGTCTATATTGTAAGATTTCATAATCTTGGGCGAAGTTAACCTTTGCTAGCAAATTTTCAAATCCATAACCCGGGAATGTTTATGATGTAATCACTATATTGATGCCTCTGCAAAAATGTTAATGTCACTTTGAATTCGTCGTGAAATCACAATTTTAAAAAATTGTAATAACTGTGCAAGCAGTACATTCGTAGTTTTGTGAAATTTTTCTTGATTTGCCGACGATTTCTTTTGAAATTTTTGTGTTAAAATGTGGGATAGTGCTCCCATCGCTGAAGTATATGCACCTTGTCCGTCTCTGACCATCTTGTTTTGTTCCTGATTTTATTTTATTTACATTTCCATTAAGCCACCAGTTTTTTGTTAACAATTTTTTCTATTGAAATTAGTACAAAATATTTCAATCAATTTTGAACAGACAAACGTGAGGAAAGACATTCGGTTATACATTGCCTATGGAGTATGGACAACAAACGTGTCACGTAAAAAAAAAACCGACGAAAATTTGCAGGCCAGATCAACGCCTGGATAAATAGGTTTGTAATACTCAGATTATTTTGGCAGTTAACAGCGGATTTTGTTGAAGCAGTCGCTGATGGATTTTCTTGTCAATATTATTTATTATTTCTTCTAAAATTTAAAATTGCGAGGGTTCGAAGATGTTTGCCGTTGGGTCGGGAGGGGTTGCTGCGCAACACCCACCGTTGCGCCCCTCTCCAGTTTTATGCTATTCCTTCTGGAAACGAGTCGATACAATATTAAGGCCGTTGCCTTGGTGACAAACAAGTTTACGCCATTTCGTTGTGAAATGTGCACCTAATCTTCGGCTCATATTTTAATAAAGCCTCTTTGATTTCATTGAAGTCTGATTGACGGAAACCGAAATCCGCATAACCGCCGAAAATTCACTTTTTAGTTACAAGAATTGATTGAATCGGGCGGAAATTTGCCTGATGACGTCGTCTACCAAAGAATACACGACTGATTATTTTCAGCATTAGAAATTTGTTGTAGATACCATGATATTGCATATTGGTTGTGGAATCTCCGTACATGGGTACTGTAGAGATGTTTTTGCTTCAAACCGTGTTCTACACTTACAAATAAGCAGGAACATTTAAATTACTTACCTTAATAATTACATCACAAGAAAACTTCCTGAAGAAAGATCGTTCAGATTTATTTGAACCACTAAACAACACTTCTGCACACATTTAGCCGATGACATTTTTTTTTCGGGCGTAGGAATTCGATTGATTTATTACTTCGATATTTGTGCCTCGTTATCACAAAGGTACTGAAATTTTACGCAAAAACGTCGAATAACGCCAGACAAATTTCCATGTTCAAGGGTCAGCAAAACCCATCAGGCCAGAACCGAATAGGCATTAAACGCGCTTGTCGTGGTATATCTCGTCTTTCGTACGTGACATCAGCATTTTCACGTCGCAGTCCGATAAAAAGAAATTATGTGGAAATCTTTACTTAGGCTAGATTAATTAAAATTGGGTAAAAGGGTACCAACCCATTCGATCTTAAATAACTTCTACAATAAATGACGAATGATATTCTACAGCTTGCCTAACCCAACACAACACACACGATTTATTTTTATGATGCATGCGGTTCCCTGGTTATGACATTAAGTAGAATAGTTTAATTATTTTATTTTTCGCATATATTACCTCCAGAAACATTCAGTATATACCTACTTTAATGCAAGCTTTTTAATTAGAAGGTGTAAAAAAATTCGTTTGTCATACTTATGTCTTTTAAAAATGATAAAAAATCTGATGATGGGTGTAAATTCCCAAGCGTCCAAATAAATGTTCAAATAAGTAATGAATCTACTTTAAAAAAAAACCGCATGGAATTGTTTAAAAAAATTTAAAATAGTCAAATTCTTCTTAAAAATTTCCATGAAATTAAAAAACATTTATATTATTATACATTGCATTACACTTTCCAAGACAAAGCCGCTTGTAAAATACAAAAGTCAAGCTAATCCTGAAATATCCTTTGGTTGAATTTCTTGGCTGTTTGATTTAAAATTGAGAAAGGTATGTGGATTCGTTCTTAAATGACTTCTACAATAAATGACGAATGATATTCTACAGCTTGCCTAGCACAACACAACACACACGATTTATTTTTATGATCCATGCGGATCACTGGTTTTGACATTAAGTAGAATAGTTTAATTCTTTTATTTTTCGCATATATTTCTTCGTAACCTATATACCTACTTTAATGTAAGCTTTATAATTAGAGGATGTAAAATACTAATTCTTTTGTCATACTTACGTCTTTTAAAAATGATAAAAATCCTGATGATGGGTGTAAATTCCCGAGCGTCCAAATAAATGTTCAAATAAGTAATGAATTTACTTTTAAAAAAACCGCATTGAACTGTTTAAAAAAAATTTAAAATAGACAAATTCTTCTTTAAAATTTCCACAAAATTCTAAAACAGTTATATTATTATGTATTGCATTATGCTTCCCAAGACAAAGCCGCTTGTAAAATACAAAAAAACAAGTTAATCCTGAAATATCCTTTCTTTGAATTTCTTGGCTGGTTGATTTAAAATTGAGAAAGGTATGTGGATTCGATCTTAAATGACTTCTACAATAAATGACGAATGATATTCTACAGCTTGCCTAACACAACACAACAAAAACACGATTTATTTTTATTATGCATGCGGTTCACTGGTTTTGACATTAAGTAGAATAGTTTAATTCTTTTATTTTTCGCATATAAACGATAAAGAACCTCCATAGACATTCCAGTATCCATTTTCATCTATTCCATAAAATCCTTTTTGTCTATAATAAGTTCATTTTATAAATGAAATTTGAAAGAGGTCGTGATACATTTTCACATATATTTAAAAATAAAATAAAATAAAAACTCGTAAACAACTTCTTCTTTTTAAAATAAAGGTTAAATTTTCATTATTAAAACGTTGACTTTTTTTCTGAAACACTTTAATTTAAATTTCATTAAAGCGTCAATCATATGCAAATTCACGCTAGGTTTATTTTAACGCGTTAGGTATTATTACGCTTATTTAATGTCTGTTAGCACTGGAAGCAACGGAAATTATTGTCAAAGAGGAGTCATAAATGCTTTGTACATCTTTTTGAGATATTCCAATTAAAAAATTAATTTAAACATCTGATTGATACTGACGTGTCATACGATAACAATATTTTTTCTGCTAAATTTTTGTTAAAAACTCAAAATGTAAATTTATACTAAGAGGGAATGATGAAAAAAAATTGTACCTTTCAGATTTGTTAATATGTTCTTTTTGTAATAAAACTAATTTTTTTTGCCTTATGATCTTTGCATATTAGCCATGACGAATTCTTATAGATATGTTGTTCAAATTGGGGGTTATCGGGAAAAAAGGGCCAGAGGCGGCGACGGTGGGATCGAACCCACGACCGCGGCGGGAGAGTCTCTCATGCTAATCACTCGGCTACCGCGGTCCCTTAATAATAAAGCTAATTGATCACAACTTTGATTGTTATTAGGCTTTTTTGGGGGAGGGGGGGTACGGTATAAACACAAGCGTATAAAAAAATAACACACAAACCATCCTTTTCTTATTGTGAGATTGGATGATCAAGTTACTATGTTCTAAACTCATGAAGCATTTATAAAAAAAAAGAAGAATTTTCATTGGTCCAGCGTCATAATCCAGTTATTTCCCTAATACTTTTTATTTTTATTGCTGTCTTTATGTAAGACCTGGCCTTGTTCTTGTCGAAGAACTTGTTTTGCTCTTGGTATTTATTTGTTGGTGTTTTTTGTCCAGTGTTTAAAAATTTGCCCGCCGGCTTAGGACTGCTGACCATGGCTAACGTGTTATCCTGTAAGAGTAATTTCCAGTAAATTTTCCCCTTGATCCTCGGTTAATCTATAACGGTGACGAGGACCAGTTCCCACCCGGTTCGCGGACCACACACGTTCCCGCCGACATATTTGTGTCCCAGATTTTCCGATGAACCATGACTTTCTGGGGTCCTTACGTAACAAGTTCCCACGGGGCGGATAGATCAGTTAGAAACGGGTGTCTGTTTTTTTTGTATTTAATTTATTTTTCACTTTTTCTAGGGAGAGTTATTTAAATTATCATGGATATCGCCTTTCAGATACTTCTCCATCAAAGTCGGTTGTAATTCACTAGAATATACGGTGAAATTTCACGGTGTTTTTTTTATACAAGAAGTTCTTTTTTTAAGGTTATCACACATTTCCTCCTCAAGAAAGGTTTTTGTTTTCATAAGCAATACTTTCAAAATTGTAATTATAATTCATCATAGGTCACAAGAATAGATAATATGTTATTATTTTTATTTTTATTGACTACTTCAATAATTCAGTAATAATATTTGCTCTAAAAAGAAACGTGTAACCTTCCATAAAAAAGACTGGCATAATCGTCGAAAATCTGATTTTTTCGAAAATATTAAATGAAATTTGTCAATAAAAATATTCAGGGTTAAATACTTATTTACCTTTACATTATCGTTTTGTTAATTTTTTGCAGATACATTTTTTTAACATCTTACATATGGACATTTCAAGTATGTTCAATTTGATTCATTATATTATTAACTGTAAAGTGTATAACAGATGTAATAAAAATATACATATGAAAAATACACATCTTACATAACATTCATCTTACTTATGGAGTATCCATAATTGTTCTGGGTGATTACAACATTAATCTGAATTAGGACTTTCCAAACATAAATTAATTTATGTGTATTATTCATAAAATTAATTTAAACAATTTATAACAAACAGAATGCTAAATCACATCAGAACATTGATGGATACTACTCAAGTAAGAAAAAAAGCAGACAAATACATTGCATTTTAAACAAAACACCTCTCCCCCATTTGTTGATAATTGATATAGCTTCATATATTGATTGATTTTGTCTTTGTTAATCTGTTTATTAAGCATGTGTATATTTTTATTACATCTGTTATACACTTCACAGTTAATAAGATAATGTATCAAATTGAACATACTTGAAATTACTTGAATCGAAATAAATATTAATGGGATTTAGAAGATTGGACAAAAATTTTTAGACAGTACCTCAGAACTAACAATCAAATTAACCTGTCATTAAAAATAATAAATAATTAATAATCACTAAGAAATGTCAACTCTCAACAATTTTTCATAATTACATTTAACTAGCTTTTGAAAAATTTAGGTGTCCCCTGAGAGTCAAAATAATTCAAACTCGATTCAGAATAAGCCATACGCGATTGACACATGGACCCTTATTATCAGTATGCAGTATATATATAAAACCACAGTTCCTCAATGTGCTTCTTTTAATTGAAGGGTGTTATTTCTTGGCAAATCTATTTTTGAAACAGGGATATTTTTGTATATATTGGTTTTTTTAAATTGCAGTCGATCTTATTATTGTATTAAGTAAGTTTGGTTATAGATAACTTTTGTGTCAAGTGTTTCGTGAGAATGTATTATAAGCATGAGTGTGTGTGTAGTACAAGAGCGTCAATGGCGGAAAATTAAGTGCCCCATCGACCCTCAATGAAGTTATTTATGTATACGTAAACATGGAGGAATATCGGGTACTCCTTCACTTGAGTGAATGGCATATAAATAAGAAAGAATATATTGATGAGTGAACGACTGTATGTGTCATAGGTCCACATCTACGCATAAGTACGTACATTTACATAATTGAGCCTAAATAAATCAATCAATTACCCTCTTATAGCAAATCTTAATCGTCAACAAAGACGAAAATAGGTAAATCAATAAACTTTTCCAAGACATTACAACTTTTTGAAATACAATTCAAGGATTAAGTAAACATATGTCGTGAGAAGCAGTCAAGAATGAAGTAGTTTAGAAAAACACTTTTTTCATTTTTTTGCCGACGTGTCGACAATTATTCATGTCATCTTCAGGGCATAAATTGTGGTGCTGTTCTTGTGGTGTCATATTGATTGTGGGTGAAAGTGTTGTGAGACGTGACCGCTCCTCACGGCTTCAACAAATTATGAAACAACAGGTCACTATGAAACACTCATATACCAAGTAGAAAAGTTATTTTGTTTGTCGAAAAATACATTTGGCTAGCTACCACTTAAATATAGATAAAGTATAACTGTCAAATCAGGTTGACTTATAAATTAAATTGTAATGATTTTCGAACAACATGTTCATCGACATAGAAAAATTGTACTTTCTCCATTTGAAGTTTGCTGGGTTATAAACCGGTTCTTTGGTCGTTGCGATCATTTTGGTCTACATATCCTGAGTCTGGTTATAATGAGTTAATATCAGGTCATCTGTTCATACAGAAGCTTACAAAAAGAGATGTAAGATAAAATAACGCATCCCTCCAAAATACCAAGATAGGCAGATGAAAGTGATCACAAAAGTTAAAAAAATTATTTAAAAAAATAGTTAATTACTAGTGGAAATATCCCAATGTTAAGGTAAATAGTGCTTAACAAGATTTTTTAAACATTTTTGAATTTTTTTAAGCACAATTAAGAGTATTTTTATTTATTTTCCCATTAAACGACCACATCTAATATAAACAAATTTAACATATTTTGGAAATAATATATTGCTGACTATTTTCCTAACTAGAAAGGTAATCGTTAACAATTGAAATTAAAATTAAGCGCCATTTGATTTTAGATTGAAATGGGTTTACGTTGTTAATATATTATATTATTAGTTTTTTAAATAATTCATATAGTTTATAAAAAAAAGTAAATTCATTACCTGTTTCAACACTTATTTCAAGGTTTCGGGAATTGACACCCATCAACGGCTTCTACATTGCTAAAAGACAAATATAACAAAGGATATTATTATTATTTTTTTTTTCCCCAACGCAGAGGTTATACCCTCGGGGTGCCCGTGTTTTTGAAAAAAAGCCCATCTGTAAGTATGTCGGGTTCAAATGCAGGGCCGCCGGATTCGAACTCGGGACCTTTACCATACAGTGTCAACGCCAAAAACCGTTGCGGCCACCGACGCCCCCTTAAAGGATATTATTATTTTACAACATGTGATTATAAAGCTTACCATTAAAAAAAATCTTATTTGCCATGTGGCCTGTCGGCAAGTAAACTTTTCTTTTGTAAATATTACTTAACATATATATAAACATATAAAACCATACATCACCAATTGAAAAATTGAGCTATCTTTGGAAAATCAAGTTTAACTCCCTCAAGGACACAACATATCACCTTACACCCAGTTATGACTTGTCTTAGCATATATTTTACTATATACAATGAACCTGTCCCTCAAGTTAACTATTTGATAGAAGAATAACTTGCAATCCACACACGATTAAAAAAATAGACACTCAACAAACTTTGAGGTAATAAAATGCTTTATTACCTACGCAACAGACAATCAATATGACCATTAAAATCAAAACTTACGACATACACATACCTCCTCAAACCTATTTGGATATATGGGTGCCAAGCTTATGGAGCGGCCAAATATTCCAATATTCAAAGGTTACAAAGTTTTCAATCCAAAATTTTAAAACTAATTATTTCTGCCCCTTTTAACGTCAACAATAACACACTTCACAGAGATTTTCACATGCCAACAATTTTTTCATCCATCAAAGCATATTACAGACGTTTTCATAGTAAATTACAAAATCACACTAACATACGGTTACTTCATTCTCCACAACTACCACGTAAACCTCTGAAAAGAATATGGATAGAGTTTTATTAAATGATTAACATCATTTTATTATTCCAGAGCGTCTGCCAATGGTTAGCTTACCCTATAACTCCCGTAATGACACAAACATAAATTGAAATCCAATCTGCTGGTTGTACATAATACATGTACAATTGTATATAAAAATAAATTAAGTAAAAAAATATTACTTTAAAATAATATAAAATTTTATATAAATAAACTGAAGTTACAAATGCAAAATAATCATATATCTTTTAAAAGAAATTATATATAATGAAAAAAATTAAGCTTTATAATTAAACGATGTAAAATAATAATGCCTTTGTTATATTTATATTTTTAAAAATGATAAAAATGCTGATGATGGGTGTAAATTTTCGAACGTCCAAATAAATGTTTAAATAAGTAATGAATTTACTTGGAAAAAACCCGCATAGAGTTGTTTAAAAAAATTAAAATAGACAAATTCTTCTTAAAAATTTCCATGAAATTAAAAAACATTTATATTATTACACATTGCATTACACTTTCCAAGACAAAGCCGCTTGTAAAACACAAAAGTCAAGCTAATCCTGAAATATGCTTTGGTTGAATTTCTTGGCTGTATGTTTTAAAATTGAGAAAGGTATGTGGATTCGTTCTTAAATGACTTCTACAATAAATGACGAATGATATTCTACAGCTTGCCTAACACAACACAACACAACACACACGATTTATTTTTATGATGCATGCGGATCACTGGTTTTGACATTAAGTAGAATAGTTTAATTCTTTTATTTTTCGCACATATTTCTTCGTAACCTATATACCTACTTTAATGTAAGCTTTATAATTAGAGGATGTAAAATACTAATTCTTTTGTCATACTTACGTCTTTTAAAAATGATAAAAATCCTGATGATGGGTGTAAATTCCCGAGCGTACAAATAAATGTTCAAATAAGTAATGAATTTTCTTTAAAAAAAACCGCATGGAATTGTTGAAAAAAAAATTTATCCGTAAAATACAAAGTACAAGATAATCCTGAAATATCCTTTGGTTTAATTTCTTGGCTGGTTGATTTAAAATTGAGAAAGTTATGTGGATGAGTGTCGCCAAGTTTCGTCGAGTGGGTGAGCAGGTAGCGAGCGGGGGCCATTGGGCGGCTTCCATGCTTCTCTTCTCGGCCATCTTAGCTGAACATCTGCCTTCTCCAACGGCCGCGCCTCTATTCTGTGAAAAATAGTTTTTAAACTATAATTATCACTGGAATAATTAATTTTATTTTGCTGGCTGTATTTGCCACGTGTGGGCAATTAGACGGCATAACTCTAAGTTTAAATTATGAAAAAAAAACCATTCTAAACGCCAGAACTAGATATTTTTCATGTGTTTTTTGCCGTTTAAAACATCAAATAATCTGATTGGCAATACTACTCACATTTTTAATTGAATTGTTAAAAACTTGGAATTAATGCATAAATAAATAATAGGATTAGAAGATTTTGATCTCATAAAAACATACTTTATACGTAACGGCTGGAAAACCTGTAGAACATTTGCATTGGTTCAGAAAATTATTTAAAAGGAAAGGAACTTACTACAGCCAATATAATCATGAAACGTCTCAATTTGAGATATAATCGAAGAGGCCAAAACCGATAAAAGTCCATGAAAACCATGGATGGAAATCTGGCATTCACGTAAAATATAAAGTAAAGTTTTCAACATTATTCTCATTTAATATTTAGCCATTGTCTATGATTTTCACCTTAGACGTTCTACGAAATGTATATACAAAGCATACAGCTTATTCTTTTAAAAGACTTCTTTAAATGAAAATCTATGTAGTTGGATAAATACCAACTGTACAACAATAAATTCACTTAGGTTGTTGAATTTAAAAAAAAAATAATAACCAAAGAGTCTTTAAATAATTAATATTTTACTGGGAGATACAATGGGTATGGGTAATTTTCAAAATTATTGTATTAAAGACATCTCTTGAATTGACTGTCTTCAATTGGTGATCAAATAACGAACTTTAAGACAATATGATTTATAATAGGCGGAAATAATTTTTAGTCATAATACTTTTGTACCTACTACATGATAGAAAAAAAAAGTTTTAAACTGCGACAGGTTTGTAAAAAAATGTAATCTGGCTTAACCAGATTGTGAAGCGTTGACATTTCAGAAACCGGTCGTCCTGGTAAAAGAAAATTGCTGACGTTATTCCAAAACCCTGGATATTTGATCCGAAAAATAACCCTTTACACGCACAATTTGTTTATTCTCAATAATTTACTTATTATCGACAAGTGAATAGATAATAGATTAGTCAAACTGAGATGAACTAAATTGTTAAATATTAATATAGCTTGTGATAATTTAATTTACTTGGTTGATCAGTACATTGTCGAAAATATCAAGTTTAAACGATTTTTGAAGTAATATACACATAAGAAAATGGATAACTTCTATAAGATGTACATAAATAAAAGTTCGCAAGCTCTGAATTGCTTCATTAGTTGTGAGATGTATCATGTAATGTGCGTTAATTTTAAATGTTAATTTTTTTCTTTAAAAAATAATTGAAAGTTGTGCCAGAATTTAAAAATGGGGCAAGCCGTTTTTGCCCAGTAATTGGCCGAGTCATTAGAGAATTTATTGAGGTTGGAAACAGACCTTTGATCTTTCAGATCATCTATTCTTCTGACCCAGTGCAGGTAGACCACACTTAAATGGCTTCCGAAAATAATTAGTTCTTATAGTTTATTGTTACGTCACTCTGGTTCCGGAATGGTTTGTCTACACAAGGTTCAACATAAAACAAAAGAAGGTTAAGTATCGAAGTACCGGCGGCGATAAAGTCCTCGTGAAACGGAATCATATATTTCCATCGATTTGCACATGCCGATTTAGATTATTAACACTGTCGTTCGAAACGTTATTTCTAAATTATAAAATACGACAGTAAATTAATTGACTCTGAAATTGGTGAAAAGACGATGAGTGATCACACTGTACAAAAATGGCCAAAAACTAGAAAAAACAAAAAATTTGACTGTTTGTCACTACTTTACAAAACCACAAAAATAACCAATTTACAGGCGAGAAAATTCCTATCTATTGAAATACAATGCTTTCTTTAAAATCAAGGAACAAAGTTAATAATCTATTTTTTGTAGTACAAAAAACCCTGAATACAACTTATTCGGAAAATCAGTTTTTTTCTTAAATGTCCCGATGTTTTCCGAAAATCACAAAGATGTGATAATTTTGAAAAACTCCACTGGTTGAAAGAGGAAGTAAATAATAATAATACATACATAAATAATTAAAGGCATTATTGAGTATGGAAATTATGACTGTTTACAAGTGTTATTTATCATTCATAGTTGTTCTCTTTTGATGTTGAGACTTTTCTCTGAAGATTTAAACTGAAAAAAAAAAAAAAAATCAATAAGAGGATCATGCATCTAAGAACATTATCTGACAAACATTATCTTATTTAGCATAGTATTACTTGTCAATACTGCGATAATTTCCTTGAAATAATACCAGCAATAACGAGTCCAACTTTGCCCTGTTATAGTTCTAATTTAATTTGGAAAATGTTGATTTTATCGCGGAAAATTGCTTGCTACTTGCTTCCAAATTCCTTGTTGGAACTGAGACCTTTCTGGGACGAGTTAACAGAACGCTAAGGATATCAAAATTGTTAACTTTCTATAAAAGAATAAAAATTATAGTTCGCATCTCGTGCTTTAAAATATCTTTTCATTGTTTAGCTTAAATTGTTGTAAAAGGTAGTAGGGTTAATTGTCAATAATCATCGGGGTTTGCACTAATGACGAATTTGCCATAATTATAAAAGAATAAACTTTAGAATCTTTGAATTTTCAATAAATCACAATGATTTTCCAAGGTGTTATCTTTTCCAACTAAGGACGTTAGCCCCTGCGTATATACAATACCAGCTTTGCCCAAAATTCACACATATCCTTACCAAGTATGTTTTCCATTTTAATTTTCCCAGATAATTGGTCAACTGGCTGTTTTTTCACATGAAATAATCTCCTCTCGGGTTTTTTAAAAACCTTGTGAGCATCAGATCCTGGAGGGAGTATGGATTCCTATGAATATTAAAAAGTCGTCTTGAACACTCCAGCCTGACCCGACAGATTAGACGACAGCCTCCATATAAAAGGGGAATTTAGAAAACGATTTGGTTTTAACACCTCAGAACTTTCCCTCATTAGCCCCATTTTCAAAACTGAAAATCCACTTAAGCCGGCCAGCGGGATAATTTCGTTTGAATCAATCGTTACCTGGGAGAGAGTGAGAGGCCGACCGGCAAAAACGGCACCTTTACTCCCCCAGAAAGTCTTTTTCCTGGGAATATTTGAATACAAAGGAGGCCAACGTGATCACCATATGAAGTCGTGGTAAATAAATATAATTTCCAGTCATGACGTGTAGATTTACCAGACTGAATTAACCGGGTAGATCATTTGGCACTGCTGAAATATAAAACGTGTAGTTCAGACATCAAACTGGCAATTATCTCAAAATTAAAGAATGTATTAATAAACCAAAGCCCTATCAGATGGGGAATTCAAGTTTACACCATTGAACTTGAATTTCAGCGGTTGCGTAGTTTCATTTAAAATAGTAGACATTCTAAATTAATGCAGTGTTACTTTAATATGCTTTCCATTACATAGGCTGCGGTGTCTATTTTAAATTACTGTTTTAGAAAGAAGAGTTCTCTTTGACAGACCTTACAAATAAATGAAGTCCACCTCTAGTAATGGTGAACCTGAAGAAGCGGTAGTAAATCGCCTATAAATTATTCTTCCGTCCTCTTTGCTCGTCCAGTCGCCTCAATAAAAATCAAACTATCATTATGTTACCAACGGTATAAGTTATTTTTAAGGAACAACAATGTCTACAAATAGCTTAGTTTGTTCTTAAATCAACGAGTCTGTTCGTAAGTACAGCCCATATTTCATTATAACTGTGGGGCTTAACAACTTGAAAGCTTAAATTACAAACCTGGTCGGACTTTCCGAGAGGATTGACTTAAAAAACAAACTTCAAATTATGAAATTATTTTCTTGTTTAAATATGAAAATGCGGATGATATTGTTTACTATTAACCTTCAACGTTTCGTCTAGCAGTACAGGGGAAGTGAAAACAAACACTACAGCACTGAGAGGATTGGAATTTAATAAAAAAATATAAGAATGCAAGAAAGGATTGATTGTTACTGAAAATGAAGATAACCAAATAAATCATAATAGACAGATATAGAAGTATATGAGAAAGAAGGATAGATATGTATAGTGTGTATAGAACTAGAAAGATAGATAAAAATTGAAAAAAACTAAAAGTATAAATTGATAGGTTTGAATAGATAGAAATATATGATAGACACATAGTTACATAGACAGGCAGATAAATAGGGAGAGAGTGACAGCCACAGAAAGAGAGGTAGAGATAGATGGATAGATAGGGAATGTAAGTCCCATGTTAGAAAGAAAAGGAAAAACAAAGAAAGAGAGAGAGAGAGAGCGAGAGGGGGAAAGAGAGAAAGAGAGAGATAAACAGACGCATAGATAGGTAGTAATAGAGAAATACATAAATACACATAACTAGCCCATGTTAGAAAGAAAGGAATAAAAGAGAGAGAGAGAGAGAGAGTAAGAGAGAGAGTGTGAGTGAGAAAGAAAGTGAGATATAGAGAAAGAGACTGAAAAATAGAGGGTTAGGTAACAATTAATTACCTAATTACTACTCCTTTTGAGATAAAAGATGAAATGAAAAAAAAAAACAGTTTATTTTTGTTTAAACAATGCTTTGATAAAGTTACTGACAATAGTTTATTACTTTTTACTTAAGAGAGAGAGTGAGAGAGAGAGGGGGGAAAGAGAGAGAGTAAGAGGGGGGAGAGACAGAGATAGAGAGAGAGAGTAGCAGAGAGGGAGAGAGAGAGAATGAGATAGAGAGAGAGATAGATAGATAGATAGATAGAGAGATAGAGAGATAGAGAGAGAGAAGAGGGAGGGAGAGAGAGAGAGACAGACAGAGAGGGAGGGAGTGAGAGTGAAAAAGAGAGGGTTAGCTAACAATTAATCACCTAATACTAATCCTTTTCATAAAAGATGAAATAAGAGAGAAAAAAGTTTATTTTTGTTTAAACAATGCTTTGATAAAATAAATTGACAGCAAGTTTATTACTTTTTTACTTAATATGTGTGCTATTTTAAGTTTTGCTAATTTTGCACTTGTCGCTTGTTTATTTTTAACACATTCCAACGTTTTACAGAATATAGAAATATTTAAAAACTTTCTAGAAAATAATTTCCAGAGGTGCCTATCGCCATAAAGAGAGAAATCAACTAGACAGGAAAATAGCAAGTGCTAGACTTAGTAATTGGAAAATATGGCGGAAAGGACAAGGGCGGTTTATGACCAAGTAATCCATCTCCCAGCGGGTTGTTCCCTGGAGCGAGGAGGGTGGAAGGTTGTAGTCTTATTTTTATATACAGTCATGACTCGGTGTATAAAATCAGGCAGGTGGGATGGTTAGGTAGAGACAGGGGAAAAGTCGGTTTACAACCCCCTGTAAAGTCCGTGTGTTCGCAATTACCATAATACAAAAGCCTCCGTGTGTCTCCGTGTATGTCTGTATTAACACGACGTGACGAACGGTGTCTGTGCGGAGGAGGGCGGCAGGGTGTAAAATATCCCTCCGGAAGGGTATGGGGTATGCAGACGGACGTAGACCGAAATACAAAGAGAGAAAGAGACGGAGGAGAAACGGGAGCGATATGTTGTTTTGTGTTTTTATAGTTGTGGCTAAAGGGGGCGGGCTGACTTTCTGGCGAAGAAGCACAGCTCCTTGTCAACATTCGTCTCCCACCCTGCAAACACAGTCCTATCACATCTTTAAAGGTAAAAATTCTTCTTAATAATTCTTCTCATAAGTTATGTATTGGTAGATTTATTGACATATTTTAATGTTTTAACCAATACCCATGTGTCGATGTTTAATTTTCATTTTATGAACTAACACTTGTCCAATTAAGAAGGAAATTGGTGTCAGAAAACGTTTAGTAGAGAGAGTAACCCTCTTGAAACCTTCTTCATAGTAAACATGTGGCAATTTAACTAACACGACAATCTTACTTTAAGAGAGTTTTTAAATCCGTTATAGTTGGTTTAAAAAACAAACTTGTACAGCACATAATGTGAATATTACATTGAAGTTTTCATCGAATAATTTTTATTTATTTATTTGTATATATTACTAAAGAATAGATTTGACATTAGTAATTTAGATTTTTACAAGTTTTATTGTTTAGCGTATCCTAGCATAACCTTGTATTGAGGACAAGAGATGTTATATAAATAAAGAAAACCATTTTAATTTGAGACCCATTATTAACACAATGAGGTACAGTAACACAAGACTAAACATATGTTTTTTGATTATATCAGATTTTCTTTTGGTTACGTTTACATAATTATTTAGGTTACATTCTTGTTTAATAGAAGTGATAACAGTCTATTTAATATCTTTCTTTTTCATCTTTTAATATTTATAGCTCACATGTTATTTTAAGTAACATGAATTATGATCACTTATATCAAAGAAATATAGAGAATAGTGTTCGTTAACAATCATGCTAGGTTTCATAACATTTTTAAAATCATTAAAGCTGGACAGAAATTTATTACCGGCAATGCTATAATTTCAGTGTGTCATGTCTATAAATACGTATAATAATGAGGTATTTTAATATTAGTTTTCATAGACATGATATTATTATAATCATGGTCACAAAGTAATTTTCATTATTTATTTTTGTCATATGAATTCCCATGATCGAACAGTGAATACCAATATGAATTCTAACATAGCATGTAGTTCAGGAAACTGTAATTTGACAATTTATAATTAGATAATTATAATTAATAATTAGTTCGGTCATTTTGCTTTTAAAGAAATTATTTGAATCGTTGGTTTAAGAGTAAGGCCATTAGGTGATGTTTGTTCTAAACTCTTTATTGTTAAAACTTAACTATTTAAGTATTCAGAATGAAAAAAATGCCACCAACTACAGGTTGCATTAAGCCCAAACAAACTTTATATCAAAACGATTTTAACGCAATTATAGTCGTTTTGTTAAAACATTGTAATAATATTATGTTCTTCCGATTTTAGAGGTTGTTACGATTTGTTAAGTATAATTAAGTTGGCTCTGGCCATTAAGATGGCTTAGCACCAGCTGGGAATTCGGTAGATTTGCTTAGTGTGTTCCATAGAGTAAGGCTGGTGAAAGTCATTTTCTTTATATATATATATATATATTTTTTTTTTTGTGTATGAAAGTTTGGCAATGCCGATGTAGGGTTATTTCCAGTAAATATAATTGTTTGCTTGTCTTAATTATACTTGTTTGTATTTGTGCTTTTTTTTTTTTTTTAATGACGGATGTATTTTGAACCCCGTTCAATACGTTTCTATCTTACATTCATTAAGAACAAATCTATCCGTAATAAGGTTTAAAAACATTGTGCAGTAGAGATGAAAAGTATACATATATTAATATATGGAACTCAACATTATGACAATCTCTGGGTTCATTGAGTCATATTAAAAAAATTTCTAGATAAAAGAGCATTATTTTTTCTCGTGGATATTTGTACTAACATTTATCCTATCATCAACGAATTCAAGAATGTTATCTTCAATATTTCAAACAATTTAACATACGGAATAATAAAAATATTTAGAATCTCTAACAGAGGTTAAACGAGATTTTTCAGCTGTTTTTATTGGCCCAATTTTTTATAATCGTAATATACAATCAACCGGAATATGTTTTTACACACCAATGCAAAAATAATTGGTGGAAATATTAACAAAGTGTAATTTTAATTGGCAATACAGATATAATAATATAGTTTCTTCCTGTTATAATATAGCTCAATAGTTTAAAAAACAAAAATTTACTCAATTTTTAGGTAATTTAATTACTTAATTTATAAATAAGTTTAACTGATATTTGTTAAATTAGATAAGTAAAGCTTATTTGTACATTTTAATTTCTAATCAAACACTATAAAATTATTAACTTTGAAATCAAACACCTAAATTCAGAATGTCTTCATTCAAACAACAATGTATGACCTGTTTTAAGTCTATTTTATGCAGTCAAGATTTAAAAAAAATACAAGCATAAAAATTAACACAATTATGAAGTTAAGCAATAACTATAGATTTTGGAATAGTAGATTTTAAGAAAAATATGTCAGTTATGCCCAGCATTACTGAATTAAATTATTTCCATTTATATTCTATAAACGTTTCCATTGCCCCCTTCACATTGTAACAATGGCTTTTTTATTAAATGGGGAAGAAAAGGGGAATAGAGGAAAAGGGAAAGGGAAGTTCGTAAGGTAACACGTTCGAGAAGGTTACCGGCCTAATCCGAGTACAGTTTGTGATAAACAACTCGTCTGTAGATCAACCGTAAGTTTGAATTATCCACGTTATATTTAATACTTTGACCTGTATGATTTTTTCCCCTATTTTTTGTACAATTCTGTGTACGTTTTGGTCGACGCGGGAGGTTACTGAGGTTACCCTGTCGAACCAATCGATAACAAGATGCGCTACCGAAGCAGTAAATTCTGTGTTTATCGAAAGGATATAACGATTTCTCTAATCCAAATAAAAAATGCTGACGGTTTGTTTTCTAGAATGGAGGACACAACGTGTGGAACATATATTGTCCTTTTGCTTTTACACAAAATAAAGCGTATCATTCATTAAATCGCTTTATAGCACCTAGAAAATACTGTCTAATGGTTTGTTTGAATGTTTTTACTGTCTAATGGTTTGTTTGAATGTTTTTACTGTCTAATAGTTTGTTTGATTGTTTTCATGTTACCATCAATTGAAATAAATTCTCCATCAAAATTTGTTTTACCTGCTCAAACATTTGTGTGTTAAATGAAAAATAAGTTAAACTCCAACCAAAAAAAAGGTACAATCCTTTAGTTTTTAATAATAATAATGCCTTCTTTATTCACCCTCTCACTCTTTCTGTTTTTCTTTATATAACGTGGGACTAATTCTGCATATCTATGTACCTCTCTTTTTATTCTTCTTCTCTGTCTCACTATCTTCTCCTTCACACTTTCTCACCTTCCTTTTTTTCACACATTCTTCCTGCAAGAAACAAAGAGATAGAAAAAAAGATACATTACATATGTGATAATAAATAAAAGTGCAAAATGTAAATAACATTCGCGTTTTCATATATAATTCTCTCTCTCTCTCTCCCTCTCCCTCTTCCTCTCACCCTCTCTCTCTCTCTCTCTCTCTCCCTCCCTCTCTCTCCCCCTCTCTCCCCCTCTCTCTCCCTCTCCCTCCCTCTCCCTCTTCCTCTCCCTCTCTCTCCCTCTCTCCCACAGATTTTTTTAAATAACATGATAACCATTGATTTGTACTAGTGGTTGAGAGAATTAACTATCAAATGTGATTATGATTAACTAATTATAATACTACAATACCTCATTTATACGTAAACGTTCTGTAAATACATCTATATGTTCTTCTTTTTGGCCAGTATTGGACAGTATTGCCACATCAATTGTGCTCGTGTTCTTTTTTCTGAAAAATTAATGGTGTTACTTAAGTTAGTTCAGTGTAAGAATAATGTCTTTTAAATATTATATGTTTATTAAAATACCTTAAGTTCTAAGTTTTTTTTAAATACAAACGTCTGCCTAATTGAATAAATGTTATTATATACTGAAACAACTAAAAATTAAGAATAATTATCAGGTGGTATTAAGTACGAACACTGGACGGAATTGATTTTGTTAGGGTAAAAATTAATATGAATGTATTTTTACTTATTTATTACAGTCCAAATTAGTAATTATTAAGTATTAAGATATTAGGAAACGGAGTTTAGTATTCCCCAAGCACTGCATTCTTTTATCTAATTGTGCTTTTCCTTAGCTCCACTCAATTGATTCAATCTTTCTTTTACGGTGTAATTGGTTATTCATTGTAATCTCATTTTTGATACTAAATGGTACTATAGGTTATTCAGCGGTAGCTTCGCATTCTATATTCTATAATATAGGTTGCAGTTTCTTCCTCCTTAGTGCATAACCTACAATTAGGGTCATCGTTGAATATACCGATCTTGTGTAAATGTTTTCTTAGATGCCAGTGACCTGTTTATAGTCCTATGGCTCTAATGAGTTTTACTGTAGCAATAAGTTCGCCAATTTCGGTGAAGTTTAACCAAGAGTTTACTATCTATGCACCTTTAGCGCTACTTCTCTTTTTGTTTTATGTGGACCCATTCTGAGATGAAGGAGTCTATGTTTGATCTTGCAATTCTATTAGTTCTCTTGGAAAATTTCTATTAACCATAGGATCAAATTTAATCTTCTTCTGGTAAAATGTAGTGAAGTGTCAAGTAATATAACAATATGAAGTTACAGTTATCTTTATTTCAATGTAAAACACAGACGATTTCTGTGCTAGAATGCTAGAGTTGGTCGTTGATTCCCAGAGTTGGATTGGTTAGCAAATGAATATTTGTGTGTTAGTGAATTTTCTGCTATTGAACCCACAGGGATGTTTATAAATATATTGTTAAGAAACTGTAAAAAAAAGACGAGGGCGTGTCGTACATGCGTACATACAAGATAAGAAAATATTCGACAAGGGGGATCAAGGAATAAACGACACCATGTTATATGATTTTTTTAACGTACTTCTGCCTTGATCCAACTCCCATTTTTCTCGTCAAAATATCCTATTGCAAGTTGGATAAGATGGATATCAAAAACAGCACGTGGCTTGAGTTTAAAAACAAACCGGGTCAAGAGTAGCCACGTGTTGGATATATAAAAACCAATCATAGATTCGTTACGATTAAATTTTAGATAATAGTTGAAAAAGTGTCTTCAGTATCTTTTTTTTTAAATCGCCCTTGTCATAAATAATACAATTTGAGTCACATCGATGTTACGATCAATGTGACTTTGTAACGTTTCCATGAATAATTATAGTTTATTTTTTTCTGTATCTGCTTATTATTTGCAGGCATAGGTGCAACTCCTTAGAAATAGATAAATCCGGTTTTAGAAAAAACCAGAAGTAATTACTTACACATGTAAATTGAATTATATGGTCCTTGAACAACACTCTGATCTGGAATGTAAAAATGATTCAAATTCTATGAGATTTTTTTTTCATTGTTTCCTATCAGTTAATAATAACTCAGGATTTACTATGGTCCGATTTTGTTTGTGCTATTATTATCAATTATGTAATTATCCCTTGTATAACATGAAATTAAGTGCTTGGTCGTTTTTTGACGAAATTTATCTCAAACCGGTAATGTCTGGATTTTAAAGCTTTCAAAGCTTAATGAGGTCAAATCTACTCGACTCTAAGTAACTCACTATACGAGAATAGATCGTCCTATCCAACATTTCAAGTCTGGTATCTAATTTTACTTTGAAATTTCCCTCTTCAAAGAAGGGGTTTTTTATGAATACCCTCGTATTTTTCTTGTAGAATATATAAGAACCTTGGCAAATGAGGATCCACCAAGGTTTTAACTTCTTTTTCACGACTTTACCTTCACTACGGGAAGGTTTTCTGAAACTTATATTATACAAGTGCCCTCATTTCGCTAAATTACTTTATTTAGAAAAACATAAAAAGTTTAAAGTATTTTTGTTTATTATTACTGGGTTAGAAAGAGAAACAAATTTTGTTAAGAATATTTTGTTAATTCTATACTTGAAGATGTTTTCTCCTTATTCAATTGTTGTTAAGTTAAATATATTTAACATAATAAACTTATATTCTAGAACATCAAGGGACATATTTACCGTTTTTTCATACAATTACGATTACAACGTTTGAAAATTATTTTGATGTAAAGGATTTATCATGTCGAATATGCTGGAATGGGGAAGATATTACAAAAATCTTTTTATTTATTTATATATTATTTTTTTACAAAAACATAATACCAATATTTTCCTTTTCTGAGTGGCATGAACAAAAAAAAATTGTAGTGAATGTGTGGAATATAATAGGGTACGCTTGAGGGCGCCATGTTAAGTTCGGGCAAAAATTAAGCGCTCTTGGTGTATGGCGTTGAAAACGTCTGAAAGGCGAGAAGTGAAAAAAAATTTACCGCACAATGTCTCGACGGATTTAATGGCAGGTAGCACCAACGCGTGTTTTCCAGGCCACACCTGGAAATACCTCCGAATTGAACTGGCAATACAAATGGTAAAATTATGAGGAGTCAGATGCATCTCGAGCATTCACCACACGGTACTTCCTGGGGGCCGGCTTATGCCCGGATCAAATGGACGACCTTTTGAATCCCTAATTGAGGAACGAACGCTTCCTTTCCATGGTCTTAAACAAATAGTCATGGAGGCTATGCGATGGCAAGAACTTGGAAATGATATAGGTATCACAAGGAAATCCACAAATATAGCTTACTCGCGTTGTTGTACTAAAAAATCAAGATCAAGAAAACTTATCTCCCAACGCTAGAAAGAAAATTAATTTAAACTGTGGCGGGCTCTTGTTGTTCTGTCCAAAAACAAACAAGAGAATTATCTCCACGAAGATATGGTTTAACTGGACGAAGAATGAGTTGATTTTGTCAAATTTGAGCATTTCTTTTTTTTTGGGATGGTGTAAAATTTATTAAAAGCGTTGGGTGAAAATTAATCAACATAGACAATTACGAAAGCATAAAGGAGAAAACGAGAGTTGAAAAAAGGCAAAAGCCATATTTCGCATTTTAGTTTTTCGTTCAAAGACTTAAATCAGTATTTTTATAACAGGAACCTTGGTTAAATATCCATTCGTTCAAATATAATTTGTTTTCCTTGGATTTTCAGACATTTAGAATATGTACATTTAGGAATGACATCGGGCCAAAATTACGGATAAAGTCTGCGTGGCAGGTTTCCAAATGTGACGGATTTTTTTAAATGGTTGATTTTTACAACGAAGAAATTTTTTTCATGACGTGAAAATAGACATTTATTAAGTTGACGTTGGTTAGAAAATAAGCTTCTTGACAGTAATCATCTGTAATCACTTCCTGATTTATTGCCAAATGACAAGAAACCCTTTCTCGTTTGCTATTTTTAAAAGTGTTGCTAAAAGCAAGAATTCGAATTTCTAAAATTTTGGAACTAAAGATGGCGTCTCACGGACCAAAATAATAGGTAACGTGTGGTGATTAGTGACCGTTAGTCGATGATTATTCGGAAATGGTGATATGCGTCTGGTGTTATGTAGGTTTAGTTAGTGAGATATATTTGAAAGAATGGATATTTAACCAAGGTTCCTGTTATAAAAATACTGATTTAAGTCTTTGAACGAAAAACTAAAACGCGAAATATGGCTTTTGCCTTTTATCAATGTCACGCCAGACCGCATCTCACGATTTCCGAATAATAATAGGTAACGAATAAACAGGTTCATCACCCTGCAATCTGCAGGGGGAAATCACACGAAAACATTCTTAATAAATTACAATTAATCAAGGTTTTTAGTTGAGATGAAAAAAGTTAATGGCACGAGCGGGATTCGAACCCATGATCTTCGGCTAGATACGCCGCTGCTCTACCACTTGAGCTATCGTGACCTCGATCCACTCGGACATCAACTTCCTATCTCAACCCCACGTTATGAGTTTTCCCTCCTTTTTGATGTGCGAGTGGATCGAGGTCACGAGAGCTCAAGTGGTAGAGCAACGGCGTACCTAGTTGAAGATCGTGGGTTCGAATCCCGCTCGTGCCATTAACTTTTTTCATCTCAACTAAAAACCTTAATTAATTGTAATGTAATAATTGGTCAAGCGGACCACGAAACTAGTGAATTGAATAATTATTCAGAAATCGTGAGATGCGGTCTGGTGTGATGTACGTTTCAGAAAAACATTTTCTTTATCGTGCCAACGTTTCAATCTTTATTGAGATCATCTTCAGGGCTCAAAGTGTTTGTCTTCTGTGTAATTGTGCCATTCTTGCGTGTCGTGTTGAGTGCCCAATTGAATAATGTTATGATTAATCACTGCAACTAATACTACTGTATGGTAGCAAGTAATGATCCTTTGCCAAATTATCAACACCACAATAAGCAAAAATTACACTGAGTAGAGAAAACCACTGGTAGCGTTTCATAAGTTCTCAGACACTAATTGGACTCATAAAAGTTTTTCCACTAGCTCTCACTATCATTGACACTGTTTAAAATACATTTAGATCATCGTCTATTTCTGCTGTGGACGGGTTGAATGGAGCTTTCAATTTAAAAAAATCAAATGTTTTTAATGGGTTTGGAGTGACAGAAAGATTTCAAAGGAATTTATCGGTAACGTGACCAGGTTTTTCTTGGTCAAATATTTTTAAACTTGTGTGTGCAATTTCATTTCATACATAAACTGGAGTGAGGATAATTTCTCCAAGAATTTTGAACAGTTTAAATTTGGAGGATGTTTGAGCGGACCACGAAATTAGTGAATTTAATGAATTCTTAATAAATTTGTGTATTTACGTAACTTCATCAAATATATCTTGTTGTTTTATAAA